ACTGGAGCCAGAAAAAGCTTTCAAGCTTAGAAATCCCGTAGTCGGTAACGAACACGAACCAGAACGGTCTAGTCGTGAAGTGATGTTCTGCAGCTTTTTCTAGACAAAGGCAGGCAAAATCTCAGAGATATCATCAAGGGAATGGGTTCGATGGGTCACACCTCTTTCAACATTTCAGAAGATTTTTCAAGTGAGACTAAAAATGGGGAGGAAGACTTCGCCGGCACATCGAATTCTCACACAGCCTAAGCAAGCCTTATGTCCTAACAAGGGTACTAGGTTGGGTTCGGACCTGTTCTAGGGACTAACTATTAAATATTGGCAGAATATGAACCTTAAGAAAGGGCCTCCACAATTCCGAGTGAAGGTCAAAAGCGTAGCTCATTCCATATGGGTCAATATCCGCTGGCCCGATGCCCCAGTCTGAAGCTCTCAGAATTTCCCATTTCTGAGACCTTTCCTGTTATTGATTGATATCGTTTGATGGCTATAATTGTAACTTGCTGCGTTAAAATTGTGGACGTTCGCCTTTTTGAATCGATATCCACAGGATGTCCAAATGTCCATTCAGGCTGTAGACAGCCTGCTCCTGATTTCGATCGATATGCATTAAATAAACAGCTTACTAATGGGCTTAATGAACAGGCCTCGTGGAATGGAGCGATGATATGTGATGCAATATGATCGCGGATCGTATATCGTACACGAACAATCAGCACTTCGTATAAACACAAACTGATGACGTGACAACCGGCCTTCTCTTTGTCTTTGGGACCATCTTTCTAAACATATGGAGACGGTCCGGGGACCTCAAAAGACTCGTGTCCAATACGATCATATCCCATTACATAAACAAATCCTTTCTACAGTATCTTTTAGGAATACGATCAATCGATTGATCGGCTGAAAATGGCGAATTCCCCTCTGACTATGCACTTTGGCAATCACTCACACGCACCCACGCTGATTCAATCGACGATGGCTTGAAAAAAGCCAGTTCGAGAAGCTGAACGGTAGAGCTACTCAAAAACTTTTCTTTGACTGGGTTAAGGTCATTTTGAGAAAGATAACGGTATCTCAAAAAACGATCGATTTTCCCTTTTTCTGGAGAAGAAATACGATCAACCGCTGATTCGAGTTTAACGGGCCTGCCCTGAGACGGCTAGGAACACCCTCTGAACCGTTACCTTACCGGCAGCGAAGTGTCAGCTTTCTGAAGGCGGTAGGAATTGCCCTGCCTAATGAGAAGTCCGAAATAGTCAAGGGAAGAACTCAAGACTTTCCCGAACTCCCTGCTCATCCAACGAACGAACTGGTCCTCTAGGAGAAGAATTTGATATTTTTATGAAACCTTTGCTAGAGCATCGGGTTACCTAAAGCTGCATTCTGAGGCTTGTTTACTGAACGGCTTACTGCGTAAACAGCCCTAAAAATCAATGAACCACAAAGCGAACTAGGGCAGAAATCTCAGCTGAAGCCTGTGACCAGATTCATTAGAAATATTCAATACTAAGGAACGAGCTGAACAGTTCTATCACTTTGGGACGACGCCAGTTTGATCCTTTTCTTAGTTTTCGAAGTTTATAGCTCATTCGTGTTCTACTCATTCTTTCCATCAGGTATCTTACCCCAATAAACTGTGTATAGGGTACTTTCTTCATCAACTACAGCTGAGATGGGTCTGAAACTTTCCTGTGGCCAAATTGTTAAACATAAGCGAGTAGCAAACTTCACNTATTAGGTGGGAGCCGCCAAGGTTAGGTGAAAGCCTTAAAAAAGTAAGGTCACGCCAGTTCACTCGCATATCGAAATCAAAACTTCCTGAAGAAACTGGCCTTTTTTACGTTGAGGAATAACCTGGGGGCTTGAAAAGATAGCAGGAATAAATAGTTGGGCCGTTAAACGCTCGGAAGTGCAGAGGAAGCCTCGTTCAGTTCATATGATAATTATGAGCTACCGGCGAGCCTGGAAAGCACTCAAAAGGGATGACAGCAGTGCACCGAATTCGTAGTCCTGAGGGTTTAACAGATCGGTGCTTTTCGTTTGAACAAATTAAAGCACCAAAAAGCTCTTATAGACGTCTGCTGGAACATCCCAAGAATGTTTAACGTATACATCCTTTGACTACTTTTCATTCAACGTCCGTTTGAATGCAAGGAAGGTAAGTTAGGGAAAACACACCTAGTCCTGGAAGGAGCTTGAACCCTTTTTGGGCTTTCTGTGGACCATGTTCTTAATGCCGCACATTATAACGATCCCGCTAGTCAGGGTCTTCTTAACTATAAAAACCATTAGGTCCGAGTTCTCCAATTTTTTAAGTAGCATGAGATTCTAAAGGAGGAAGGTGCCCAAGAAATGCCTATAGGAGGGGCGTAAAGCGACGGTTGCCACTTTCGCAAAGATTTCTGATCCATTTCCTTCCTCTTCCGTCATCAGTCTCATTTCTACTCTGCTCTTCTGGAATTCCACTTAGCTCCGTTCTTTCAGAAGCAGCGAGTTCTCACTGTGGGAACTCAAAAGACGGAAGATTTTTTTTTCCAAAGGAGAAAGGTCTCGTTGTGAGTATTCTTCTGGTAGGTACCCCTTCTTTGAGGAATGTACTGGGATTGTAATCACCAACACATGTTCCAAAACAATAATGGTGACTAATCCGATGGAAAAACAGAATCTCACGCAAACAAGGCAATAGGACAGTAAAAGTCAAAGCAATATTTTGCGTTTGAGTCATTTCCTCCTCGTTCCTAAAAAACTGAGTCACGCACTCGATTTCACTTTAGTTACATTTGGTAGAAGCGTTTAGATATTAACAAAGGCGCCGGTGACACCCTTTCGATGTTCTGGTAAGTGCTTCCTTTCCCTGTAGATGAGTCCTTGTCAAAACCATCGCCCGGAAGAAATGAATGGATTCACTTGACCAGAGACAGGGAGTGATCCTGTAAGCGGTCCAATTTAAGTAAAAATAAGATATATGATGGGACACAGACAGGGCCTTCTTCCTGTCAAGACACAAGGCCGGAGTGCGCCACGAATAGAAGGTGCCCTCAGCGCACTTTGAAAACTCAAATTCGTCAAAGTCATAGAATTCTCACTTCTGACTTTCTAGCTGCCTAATTTTTATTGAATAGCCTTGTTTAAGCTCTCAGAAAGATACCCAGACATGGATTAACCCCAAGAGTCATTACGCACCCCTTAGGAAGCTTCGGGTTTTGAGTAAAAGTCGTATACATGGCGCATTCACAGGTCGGTCAACGTTTCTGTCTTGCTTTTTGATGCCTACTAACCACCTAACAAAGGTTCTACTGACTTCGATCTTAGAAACTATAAACCATAAACCGCCTGATTTTCAGCACTTGTTCAAAGACCGCAGAAGTACTACTGTTTCAAACCCCGGTAGGTTAATACTAAGCTTACCCTCCGACAAAACGACCCCGTCAAGGTAACCTTAACCCAGTCGGAGTTTCCCTTGGCACGCGTAATTTACCGCGCCGCCCGCTTACACCGCTCAATGAATCTTCTGAAATTGGCCATTGTCTGTGTAGGAACAACGGCAACGATGTATATCTTGGTAAGTACGAATGAAAAACAATAGACAATCTATTTTCACTTTGTAACAAACAGTGTGACGTAAACCACCGAGGTGGTGACTTTTTGGGACCATCCTTGGTTTCTCGGTAGTCTTGATGACGTAATCGAGCCTCAATCGTCGAATTTCGCGATCGAATTGCTTCGGAACGAACGATCGAAACCACGATGGTGCCCAAACAGTAAACAAACCGACGACGGTTGTTTTTTTCACAGGGCCGACGGAGGGGCACGTGAGATTTCGTGGTGGACCACGTGGGCGAGAGATGCTGTCATTATATGGTGAATGAGAATCGGGAAGAGCCTCATATAGAGCCAGAAGGAAGCGCAGAAGAGGGTCAAGAGAGCGAGCGACGAATTGATTCCTTTAGTCGTCCAGCCTTATGAGTCCATAAAGTCATACAGCTAGATAACCAAAGAGATCAATAGGCTCGGTTTTTAGAGGGCAATGAGAGATGGAAGGATGAAAGGACGGTTTGGCCAAAGGGGATAAACGGATGATCGAATTTCTGGATGGTTTATGAGCAATAAACCATGATATAAGCAAACAAACCATGTGGCCAGCGGCCAGGGCAAGCTGAGCCAGCAAGCAGCCAGCAGCCCTCTTGTAGAACGGTCAGATCGTGGCTGCCAGTCGAGTAGCCATCTGTAGTGAGAATGTGGGGCCCAGCTTCAGCTCCACCCATTGCCTGCCAGCACCAGCCAGCCAGCCAGCCGGCCGACCGTCAGCAGCTAGCAGCACCGAAAACCCCCAGAATTACTGTAAATGTCGAACCCCGCCCACTTGAAAGGCGCTCGCCTCACGGTCCGTCGTGGGGCAACGTTAAGTTCTGGCTGGTGGATGCGCTTTCAGCATAGATTACATGAGAGCTTAAGTGGATTATACAGCGAAGAAAGGTACTGGTACATACACAGCACTATATGATAAGCGCTGTAGTGATAAGTGGTAGTGATATGTGGCGAAACTGCCCACCACGACAATCCGACCAACCGCCCGACTGACTGGAGCTTTACCGCACTGCGGCGACAACTGATAACGATGGAATTGGAGCCAAGAGTCGTACACCCCGAAGGAATGTCACTGGGAAGGTTTAGTTGGGTCTAGAAAGGGAGCGGCAACCAGGTCTTTGGACAGCTTTGTGCAGATTTCAAATTCATATTCCTGCCTGTTTAAGTGGTCTACCAGCCCATGGGAAGCAGTGAGCCTTCACGATTACTTAAAACTCTGGCGATTCTGCTCGGGTGATTATGAGGAGTAACCACGCCTACAAAATCCCACAAACATCCCTAAATGGAATTGGGTTGAGGACGCAGAAAGCGAGTTATGGTCAGTTTTTAGTTACCTTTGATTAATGAACTGAGCTGATCGGATCGATTATCATTCCGGCATTGGTCTAGAGGTTGATGAGCAGGAATACATATATACGGAACTGTTTGTACCTTATTCTAGGGTTACTCTTTGATCCTTATTTTTGAGTGAACCGAACGGACATACTACGCTATTGGATTCTATGGATACAGGCTTGGTTCGTTTTTATTCCCATACCACGAATAAGGGGTTTGAAGGAAAGGTGTAGTCATCCCCTGCACGAACAATCCACATCCAGAATGTTGCNTGTTTGTACCTTATTCTAGGGTTACTCTTTGATCCTTATTTTTGAGTGAACCGAACGGACATACTACGCTATTGGATTCTATATGGATACAGGCTTGGTTCATTTTTATTCCCATACCACGAATAAGGGGTTTGAAGGAAAGGTGTAGTCATCCCCTGCACGAACAATCCACATCCAGAATGTTGCTCTAAAGAGGGAAGAGAGATTTAGCCTTACACCAAAAAAAAACGGAATTGAAGTCGGATCGAAAAGTTGAGACCACTTT